AAGTCAGGTATAAATAAGATGCTTTGTTCACTATATAGCGGCATCTGTAACTTTCCAAAATTATGTTATACTCCAGTAAATGATTACACTTTGCTGTTTTGCTTTCCGTTGCCTAGGAGTCGCTTATCTTACGAACAATTTAGTGCATTTCTGGCAAATGTCAAGGAACTAAACTCACACAAACAAACAAGAGAGGTACTACATGCACTTTGCTGTTCTCTTTACTAATGGAAATTTTTTTTTTTACTGGCTTAATTCATGGAGTTTATGGTTAACGGTTTTGCAGGAAACACTTCGTAAAGCGGAAGAGATTTTTGGTGCTGACAATAAAGATCTTTACGTCATATTTGAGGGTCTGATTACTCGTAATATCCATTGAGGGTAATGCATTATCATTGGGATCATAGAGTTTTGGTGATTATTGACATATTATTTCTTATTGTTCTTTACTGATACCTGTCATGCACAGCACTGACACTTCTCCTTGTTTGTGTATGTTACAGTTGTATAATCATATTATTTATATAAAGCTTTTTTTCCCCCTGTAATTGGTTGTGTGTTGTTTATTTCTCGGCAAAGTCATCTGGTTAAGGTTTTAATGGATTTGCTTATATAAACTATTTTGAAGCCTCTGGATGTTGCTCTCTATGTTGACAATTTGACTGCACTAGTGAAGGCTTAGGACCACCAGTAGTTTGGATTCAAGATGGTGGCTTTCTTGTAATGATTCATGATTTACTCGTAAAGAACTATTTATTGAAGCATTATCTTATTGGAATTGTGCTTTAATGCCACAACTAGGGTTTGAATGCTTTCTCAATAAAAGCACAAATGGCGACCTATTGATTTGCTAAATTTTTTTTGAATCCATACAATCTTTAAGAAATAACAGAATGTGTAATTTCGTATATGTGCTTTGAAAAGTTTGAATAACTATCTTGATTATGCTATGACTAGCAGAAATATGTCCAAAGTTCACTATGATATTTTCTTTTTAATAATGAATGAAAAGGTAGGTTTTTTTTTGGGTTTGATGAGGGAACTTCTGCACAGTCCTTCGGACCATAGGTATCAAACCCTCTAGACATGGCTAAGGGGCACATCCCTAACGTACGGTTTCAGGTACTCTAAGAAATTAATTTCCTGTAGATACTTCCCAGGAGAGTCGAAGTCCAAGGCAGCTTACCAACTTGTCTGGACCTTATTGGGTAAAAAGGTGGATAATTTGCTCCCTTAACCTTATGGGGCAAGTTTCCTCAAAAAACATGTCTTGGCCCGCCTTGTCACTGTGACCTGTCCTGTCATTAGCAAAGACTCTACTACATTTCCAGTTCCAACCATGTTTGCGTAGAAACAATTGTCAGTTGCATGGACAGGGCAGCAAAAGGACAAGGATATTTGCAGATATATATCCATGTACACTGAATACCAATAGTCAATAGGACATAAATATGGATAGATATATCCAGAGATGAGGAATCTGCTGCTGTTGGAGGTGCTCCTAGTTAGGGATAGGGATGCAACATGTGAAACACACTACACGCCATTATATCTAGACAGATTATTGCCAAAATTTCACTAACCAACGAGCTTACCGGCCACTAACTAATTGACATGGAAATATCGATATTGTCAGAATAACAATCACAAAAGTATAAAAACCATCTCCTCAAAAGTGACACATGTAAAGAAAAATAAAATCCTAGAACCTCTTTGTTTACGGTTGGCTTCAAAAATAAGATGGCCTAAAATAATTCCTAGCGCTCAACTTGCTCATCTTTGGTGTTCAGATCTTTATGGTCGATGTTGGTTACTTGTTTTTTTTTTAACTACAAATCTCATTGGTTTTTGCTTGAATATCCAATTCGGTTAGGCACCGCGCCATCACATCCAAAATTAGAAATGTAATGTTTCAAGGGAAAACTTAAATTATCTATATTATGGGGTCTATTAATAGACCAAAAAGAAAAATATCACTATTTAAAGATAAACTGCAAAAGGGTATCCATGTAAAACTAACCCTTAAGGTGCTAATCAAAATTTGGGGCCGTGTAAACCTAACCTTTAAGGTGCTTATCAAAATTTGAGGTCCGCTAGAGACCCCGTTCCAGCCATGCCATCTTTCACCCACCCAATAAAACTTCTTCCAACCAACATTCGCCCACAAAATCTACCATGAATTCCGAACAAAAACCTGGAAAAAAAACAGAAAGAATTGTAAGGAAAAAAGAAAAAGAGTCTGTCAGGGGGAGGCATCAAAGAAAGAAGAAGGGGAAACAAATTATAAACAACAAAGAAATAACCCCTTTTCATTCTCTTTAAATACCCATCAACTCCATCAAAAATAGAATGTGAATTCAAAGTTGCCTGAATCAAATTGATCACCATGGAAGATATTGAATCCTCAACACTACTAAATCCGCCAGCTAAGAAAACCTCACCATCACCCTAATGCTCACGCAAAGCCATTCAAGAACAAGAAATCCAGCGCAATCTTAAAGAGAGGCAAGTTGCTAAAGTCATCATCAACGACGAAGGAGGTGACGATCAACTCACTGATATTGGTTCATGCTCCTATTATCTTGAGCTAAAGTGCACATAACCAGAGCTCCCATATTTCCATCAGGTTTTTTACAAAACAATTCCAATTCTGTAACAAAGTTCTAAAGAGGAAACATTGGAGGAACATTTGACGGCGTTATTAAAAGGAACAACCACCGTAATAATAAAACATGGTCCATATCCCTTGCTTTTTTATCATTTCAACCATGTTCATCAAACCAATAGCGATCAATAGCATGATCATCAATCTTTAAAAACAGCCCAGAACTAAGCTAAAGCTAAAAAGAAAATTCAACAAATGCACAAGTAATTAAGCAAGTTTGTTTCTGGAGATACAAGAGGGCAAGAGTAAACTAAGACAGAATCTTAAAGAACACAGAATGCGACAACTTTGCCTTGACAAAATGTTCTAACATTCTAAACACAAATCTTGAAGCAACCTACAAGAATAATCCCTGCTTGGGATCTCAACCACAAAGAACACAAACAATTTCCCGCAAATCTTGATAAGTAACCTCACATGGCAGAAAAATAAATCAAAGGCTTCAAAATGGAGAAATAGTGATCAAGATATGCATCACGGCGTAAAAGGTGCAAAAACAACCACTGAGTTATGTCCACCAAAGCCGAAAGAATTAGAAATGGCTGCAAATGAGGAAGACAAAATGAAAAAGAAAGAAATTTTAGAATTTTCTACACTATTCATTTAAACAGAAAAAAATTGTGATTGGAAAATTATAACATACCAACATTCACTTCATGTTGCTGTTTTTTGTTTGCTACTGTGTCAAACTCAACCGAAGGCTCTGGATTCTGTAGTAAATAGATACAACAATCAAATGAACACCTGATTAGAAGAAAAAGATCAATGCATGAAGTGGAACCATGCGAATCTCATTTACATCATATCCTTATCTAAAACATGGCATGCTTCTTTCCATTGGTTGGTTAACAGCTAAAGAACTGCCTGACTTTTAAGGACGATAATATTGGGCTATCTAGATTTTTTAGCAATTGGATAAATAGTGCACTACATATGTAAATGAATATTTTGACTATCATACTGGAGTTCCACATGTAAGTACCACTTTGATGAGATTCAATTGGGAACGCTTATCATTAGTACAAACGAACTACATGAATGCGTTGATTAACAACTAAAGAATTGGCTGAGTTTTAAAGATGATAATATTGGGCTATCTAGATCCTTTAACAGCTAGATAAATAATGCACCAGAGTGTACATGAATTTTTGACTATGATGCAGGAGTTCAACATATAAATACCACTTTGATGAGATTTAATTGAGAAAACTGTTATGCTGATATATTTAGTACAAACCGACTACATGAGTGGCTGTGACGATAACACACACAAAACAAAACAAAAAAAACGACCACATGAGTGGCCCCCTATTGTCATACACACATTAAGAACTACTTCTGAAGACTTCAAATTTTAATTAGAGATTCAGAAAGCAATAAAAAAAAAGCTTGTTCTACAAGGTAAAGGCACTACAGATTATAAGAAGCCAAAATCACATGCAAGTCACCCCATGAACAGTGAAGGAACTAACATATGAGATATAACACATATCCCTAATTATACAATCAAAATAAGGCCTACTTACAAATTGGTTTATACTTGGATGCAGCCATCCAGTAGTTATGGCTTTAACTGTTGCAATAGCTTCGAGACCTCCAGAAGCACCAAGGCAGTGACCTATCATAGACTGAAGATAGAAACACATGAGTAGAAAAACATGATGGAATACTTATGTTTTGCCAACAAGAAATGATATACATGATATATTAGAATAAAGTTGATGATAAAGGGAGGCACAAATGGCCAAGAGATGAAAAAACGAAGATAACTTTCACCTTTGTTGCATTAATCTTGATCTCCTTCGGGTTCTTGAAAACTTGCTTTATAGCATTCACCTCAGCCAGGTCACCAGCAAGTGTGGAAGTTGCATGAGCATTTATGTAATTGACCTGGAGACAATAAAAACGGAGGAATAAATTTGTATTACATTAGATTAGATTCAGCAGATTGATTATGGTTGTAAGCCGGAATTCTCAGACCTAGATACGGAAACTAAATTAGAAACAGTTTATCATATCCCTGCTAATATGATAAATTCTTGATGGCAAGTCAATAATTAATTGGTGAAAATTATAAACTTACTTAAGCTCCTGTTTATAGGAATGCAAATCTTTCTTATAATTAGTTGTACTAAGTTTAATAAACTTCATGATTTCGTCTGCAGAGTTAGGAAGAGGGATTGGCGAAATGCAACTCAAAGACGAGCATATCATCATTATTACATCGTTGCTGTCACTGCTGAGCACCAAAAATAAATGGTCTAATCATCTGCTGGAGATTTTATTAAGAAATATAAAATAGGGTGGTAAAAAACTTATATAGGAAATGAAAAGACAAATTTAAAAACTGGTGTTTAATGGTTGTAACCCCAAAAAAAAAGCTAAACAAGTCAATATCCTACCTCCTCTGGTGAAACTCTTGCGTCTTCCAGACTTCTCTTGATACAAGAAGACACTCCAAGTCCATCAGCTCTAGGATCCGTCATGTGGTAGGCATCACAATTGACAGCACCTCCTAAGTATTCAGCAATAATCGGTGCATCACGTTTCATTGCGTGTTCCAGGCTCTCCATTACCTTTTCCAAGAATAAGCACACAACATTACAACAATAGTCGAATAGTAAATAACAGATATGAATAATACAATTTAGAAAATCAGTCGGCACTAGGACAATGCCTAGTTAATCAAAGTTGCAACATTAGATGTTTAATATCCCGCTTGCTTTGCACGCCAACAAGATGATGCTTATAGGAGAAATGAAAGACCTTTTGAATCAACATCAAAGACCAGGATGCAACATTCCAGAATGTGCTTCCCAGGTGAATCAAACGTTCAGTGGCTTTGCTAGGATTATCCATATCTCTACATCAAAAACTATTACAAACTAAGAGAATCTAGAGAAAATTCCAGAGTCGTGTGACGTATCATGCTTAAACAGTGCAGGCAGATATCTATAAGATGCCAGGAACATGATAGAAAAGATCAAAAACCATAAGCATCCCCATGAAGCTGAGGCCAAACTCATGGATTTGAAATGAGGAAAAAGATAAATAAATAATAGAAAAATTATATTCTAACAACGTGCAGAATAAAGGGGAAGCCAATGTCTACCAAAATACTTGTAGCAAGATTAAACCAGTTGACTGACAGGTAGACTTCCTTCTGCGTGTCTTAAGAAAGTTTATCCAAACATGATACTTCTTTAGGTTGAAATTGCGACGGATTGCTAGAAGCCAGAGGTCTGAAAACCTTAGAGAACAAATATGACCAAAAATGTCATAACCTAGCATTCAAAACTATGAACAAATTGAAATCTGAATAGAATTCAATGGTTCAAATTTCGCTGATCACTCATATCTTGAGTAAAAAGGAACATTTTCAAATATCAGTTTCGGCATCAGCACCATCACTTCACGTTAGCAACTATGCAGATTCTATGGATCTAACAAAACTATTAAACAAATATAAACACGAGGTAATGAAAACAGGCTCACATACCAGTACTCCAGCACCCTCTCCCATAACAAAACCATCTCGACCTTTGTCCCATGGCCTTGACGCAGTTTTCGGATCATCATTCCTCTGTGACAAAGCTCTACAGGCAACAAAACCCCCAACGCCAATGGGGATGATGGCAGCTTCAGTTCCACCAGCAATCATTACATCAGCCTCGCCTGCACGAATATGGTTTGCAGCAGCATAGAAGCAATAGTTGGATGTAGCACAAGCAGTGGAAATTGAATAGTTTGCACCCATGAATCCAACATCCATAGCAAGCAAAGCTGAACCCATATTTGTAATGGCATAAGGAATAAAAAATGGAGTAATTTTCCTATGCCCTTTCTCTATAAGAGCTTGAACACCATCAGAAAACACTGTAAGTCCACCCATGCCTGTCCCCACAAGGACACCAGCCCGTACCTTGTCAATCTGGCAGATGAAAAGATTTCCTCAACATAAACACTAATCCAAAATGAGGGAAAAGTAATGACGGTAATACATCAAGATGATAACTAAGTTAACGACAAGATATCATATAGGACTTTAATCAAGATATCATAGCCAAGTGGGCATAACTAAGTTAACGACAAGCAGCAAAACTAAAGCTTGGATACAAGGACATAAGGGTAGTACAAATCAATCAGTTACAACAATAATGCAGCAGAATATTACCATAGTAGATATCACCACGAAACAACAAAAAGTGTCTTCCTCCATCTTATAATGCTAGCAGAATAAAAATTTACAGTTCCCTCTACAAATATCTCGTACATAACAAAAGGTCACATAGATAGTTAACTACGTTGTATTGAAGCCTCAGCTGGAAATGTTAGATTATAACAAAGGGGAAAAAATACAAAACAAGCATTACCTATGAAGTTTACAAACAAAACTATCATACATATCTAAGCTCCTAATCTGGTTTGACCTAGCAAAGGTGCATGTATACTATAAAGTAGCTTTTATCTCTCCTTTTCACAATTTCTTATGAACAATTACAAATTTTCATTTTATTTTGCAGAAAAATCATCAGCTTCTACTTTAAGTCACTCTCCTACAACCAAACCAGCCCTGGCAAATACTGTAATTCGCCAAGGCTAACAAGTACTTATTATGATTTATAATGAAGCTACATTGTGAAGTGTGAACCTACTCTGATTTGTAGTACTGTAGTAAGCAAAATTTTTTCTATACTTATTATGATTTATGATGAAGCTACATTGTGAAGTGTGAACTTCCTCTAATTCGTAATTGTCGTAAGCAAATTTTTTTCTTGAAGCTCATTTTTTTCCTACTCTATTTCAGATGGATCCATCAAATCAAATTGCAAACATTATTTTCCTCTTCGAAATTTCAACTGATAGGATACAGTATTAAGCTCCAATCAAAGCAAAATCAGTGAACAGATCTATCAATTAAGAATTCATTAACTGTTCTGTCTCAATAAGTTACCCTTAGATGATGATCAGTGTTGGTGATCTGATACTCTTCCCACAAGCATATAGTACAAATTACACATAGAGAATACTCCAGTATATCACTATTCAATCTGCACAAGTTTTCTTTACTTGTTATCCTGAAAATACTAACAAATCATGTAGGATACCGTTTTTCAGATAGCCCAACTAAATATGTTGATAGTAAATACTTACTTCCAACAAGCATTTGAACCTTGTTTAGATCTTAGAAAAGTGACTGAATCATGATTTTGCTAGGCAAATGGATCACCAATAGAACAGAAGGAGGTAATTGACTCGATAGATACCAAAAGCACATCATAAGAAAATATTCCTAAAGTAAGAAAATGGAGCCAAGGTTCGACCACTCATAAACGAACTGATTTAGCAATACCAACACAGTGCCTTCGCACAAACTTGAGTATATGAGGGTGTTTGGGAAGGCTTATTTTTTAAAGTTTATGAGTTATGTTGGCTTTTAATGGCTTTTGATTTTTTTTGATAAAAGTACTATAAAAATTGTTCGAGTAAAATACTAATTTGTTTGGTCAACACTAACTTTTTAAAGTGAGCTTATAAGCTAGTTTTTTAAAAGTTGAGGTATACTAGCTTTTTAAAATGAGACTTATAAGCTAACTTATTTGGCATTTTACTAAACAGGTAGAAATAAGAAAGCTAGCTTAAAAGCTAGTTTGACTAAAAATTAAGCCTCCCCAAACACCCTCTATGTCCGATAAGCAAAGAAATCAAGAAGACAAAAGAAATAAAGCTTTTGTCTCCCTTTTCACAATTTGTTACAAATATCATTTATTTCACAGAGAATTTTTAGCTTTTACTTTCCTTTTAGCTCATTATATTCAAGGGCAATAAACAGTTATAGAACACAAGAAATAAATAGTTATAATTTATGATGAAACTACATTGTAAAAGCACAAACTTCCTCTTGTTCATAGCAAAGGAATTTATTTCCTTAATTTTCTTTTTTCCTACTCAATTTCATTCGGATCCATCAAATCCAATTTCGAAATGATAACAGATCTATCAATTAAAGCAACAAAATCGTACCTTTTTAAGCTCCTCGCTCCCGACTCCAATCCCAGCGCTCTCAAGCGCCTTCTTCCCGCTAACAAGACAGTACCTCAAACAATCATCCAACCTCCGATCATTCTTCCCATCAATGTACCCCTCGGAGCTAAACCCTCGGATTTGGCCGGCGAATCTCGTCGGAAGCTTCGACGCATCGAACCTATCAATAGGTCCGATCCCGCTCTCGCCTTCGAGAAGCTTCTCGTAGAACTCGTCGACTTCATTGCCGAACACGGAGACGAGTCCCATTCCGGTGATGACGACTCGCTTCTTTGGATCGGTTTCGCGCTTGGGGCGGCCGGCGGCGACGGAGGCGTGAAGCAGGGCGCGTAGCGCCGGAGGTTGTCGGCGGAGGTCTTGTAGTGCCCGCCCGCAAATGGACAGGCCGGGAAAGGGCAGGGGCTGGCGGAGTGGAGGGATGGAGAGCGAGAGCGCGGCAGGTGATTGCAATGGTGATAGAGAAGAAACCCCTAGGGAGAGCAGCTTGTGAGGAGAGAGAGAGAGAGAGAGATTTTGGGAGGACGAGATGCGAGGAGGAGGATGTTGGGGGCTGGATGATGTACAGGGCGATGGCAGGTGAAGTTCGATTTGGAGGAGGGACGGGCTGTATAGCTTTTTGGATTTTAGTCCCTTACATGTTCAATATTGTGATGGTGGACATGTAAATCAATCAAATTGCTATTTAGTCAATCGTAAACCTGTAAATCGATCAAATTGCTATTTAGTAAATCCCGAATCTCCCGATAGTTATTTCAAAGGGGGAATTGCATATAAGCCCCTGACTTCATCTTTAATTGTGAAAACATTCCCCTAGACTCAGTGTTTGCCAAAACCTCCCCCATCATCAAACCTCCATGCGGTTATTAATTAGAGTTAACTCAGTTAAATATAACGGAAATATGTGAACTTCTTATACCCCTTCTCATTAAACACTAACATTTAAACTCCTGCCTACTTGGTTTATAGTGGGTTTATACCCATAATCCGCAATCTTATTTTTCATTCTTCTTCGATAGTATAATC